AATAAGATACAGTAGTCTTTTATAGGGTTAATGAGCCAACAAACAAAAATAGCACTCATATCCAGAACCATTTTGAAAAGGGTCAAAAGTGAGCAGAGTTAAATGGGGCAAAGAGTACTGCACTCCTAATGAAATCAGAATCAGAAAGAGCTTACACAATGGCAGCTGAAGGCAAAATATATAATAAAGAAACCCACAGGGGGTGAATGATGAGTAGGAATTTGTGAATCATAGGTTTTCTAATTCTACATTCAGCACAAATTTTGTGTTGGCCACAAAGAAGATTTTACTGACCAATAGCACAGCAAACTCTGATGCTGGGACTGGTTTTGAATATCGCATAATGTGTCGTCTTATGCATATTATCTATGTAGTGTCTGGCATCGCGAGAGCTGTGCCGCTGTTGGTGCCGCTAGCACAAGCTCTCTCCCATAGCGCCACTACACATTCCTGAAGAGTTTACAGGGTTAATGCATATGCTGGGACTGGTTTTGAATATCGCATAATGTGTCGTCTTATGCATATTATCTATGTAGTGTCTGGCATCGCGAGAGCTGTGCCGCTGTTGGTGCCGCTAGCACAAGCTCTCTCCCATAGCGCCACTACACATTCCTGAAGAGTTTACAGGGTTAATGCATGGGTAACTAGACCCTGAATGAGTTTTCTCACACATCTACCCTCAAACAAAGCTGTTTTTTACATCGTTGCTCAAAGATGAAGGTAGAGCCGCAGGAGGTCCCGGTGTACCACAGTCACCAGCAAAGGAGAAAACAACAGATGCCACAGCTGATAGTTCACAGCAACACTTTTTAAGTGCCGACTGCATTTAAGGAGTCGTCTCATCTCAGTGTTTCACAGGCACACCAAACAACACATCCAGAAAAATGTAGCTGCTAATACAGCGATGCCTTCACAAGGGAGAATCAGCAGACATGTGTTCTCCATCTTCCTCTTCCATATGACCCCGTCTTCATGGAGTGGGATGAGCATGGAAACAAAGGCTGATTTGTTCTGTAGCTCTAAAAAACAAGGATGAACTGCAAGGAGGCAGACCATGGTACATTTAATACCATCCCAAGCCCTCGTTTCTAACCAAAATAAATTGGTCTCAATCTCTGACACAAACACGCTTATTTAAAAATGCAAGGGAATAATTAGCAAACAACCATTAAGGTTTTTCATTAACAGATGCAACATCTAGAGAGCGGGGTGGCTGATAAAACGACTGATGGCCCGTTCACACCAACAACATAACGATATTAGCATCCACAACAACATATGATACCGTTCTGTTCATTATAAGTGCAAGATGAAGTTCTGATTGGCTGTCAATGTTTTTAGTAGGGCTGTGCGATTAATCGAAATCGAATCGAAATCGCGATTTGAGACGTTGCGATTTCCTAATTGCAAAGCCTGTGATATGGACGCGATATTACTCTGTTCCAGAGCATATGCATGACTGCCAGCCTTGAGTTGCAGTCTTACTAACCAATAGAGTGAGCGCACCTCCGTTCTCTCCAATCAGCACTGCTCTAGCCAACTGCGTAAACACCCAGCATTGGGTCAGATCGATAGTTAGGCAAATTAAAACTAAAGAAAACCGTATGCAACTTAAGCTTCGAAATGACAGACAACGAACAAAAAAGGTAATCTGCAAGAGCTGCGTCACAACGCATATCAAAAGCTCCCGTATCGGTTCTGTTTTCAGTACTGAAGAATAAAAGATACATTCTTAGATGTTTTTGTTAGTACGTGAACGCTATCTTACACATTTTATCTCCCCAACAGATTAATTTGAAATAAGTTTATGATGCATGTTGGCTAT